TTATCTCGACAAGTTGCTGGCGCTTTCGACTTCTCGGCCACGCCGCCGACAGGCTTCTGCGTGCTCCGGCGGATGGCGCATCGTTCGGCTGTATCCCGCACTTACCCTGGCATGGGCGGGCTAGTCTACGGCGCATGGGCTGCAGAGAAGACTGGGCAGATTGTATGATTGGGCCTTCTATGCTGGATGATCAATGGTAGTCTCTTCCATGTAGCTCACAGCTTTACGTTGCAATATTTCCCGCCCGCGGGCGCCGGCCTGGATGGCCCCGACCGTGGCGGCGCCAGCCGCAACCCAGACAAGTTTCACGCACGTGGGTCGCGAAGCGCTGACAGGGAGCCTCTGAGTGCGACGCTGAACTTCTCGACGCAGGCTGTCGCGCAGTGCGCCGCACCTCGCTCGCAGCGAAGATCCGCTGCAGGGCGCAATATCTGCGTGAACGCGGTTGAAATCGATGGGCGCGCACGCGCGATATCTGGCCACCGACGCTCTGCAGCTACAGCCGCCCATGCTCATGCTGGACTTCCGTCGGGTTTTTCCTTCCCTTCACCGGGAGTTTATGCAATCAGCGTTGGCTGCGCCCCGGCTGCCAAGGGGGGTTCTTTCCGCAGCTTTCTTTCTTATATTTCTGTCATGGCCATTTCTCGATTGGGAGGGGCCGTTCTCTTCTTATTTGCACTCGAGTCTGGAATCATCCGGGGCTGCGCATTGAGTGGGAGCTTATAGCACCACCGACGTCATGCCCCATCCGCGACCTGGAATCAAGTTATGGAGAGCGTCGAAGAGGCATTGGCCGAGCGCGCGCCGACGACGTGGGTGGAGTGGTGGCTGCATTAGGTTTGTTGCATTGGCTTTATCGCATCATGGCTCTAGCCAGGCGCCTTGCTGGCTTGGCTCTCAATGCTGGAAAGTGCGCGCTGGCCCCCCAATGGTTTGAATTTAGCGTTGGTCAAGGAATTTCCGGCAGGTCACTTTCCATCTGGGTGCGATTTTGTTATCGCTGATCGCGCTCCCTTTTTGGGCGTCTGGTTGGGCCCCGGCGTCTCCCCAGTGGATGCCCGGTCTTCCACGCGGGGGAAATTCTGTCAGCGGACTCGGCTTTTGGCTGAAACAGGCGCTCCGATGTCGCATCAGGCGACCAATTTCAATGGCCGGGCTATCCCAGCGCTAGGATATCGCGCCCAGTTCATGCTTCTACCAACGCAGATGTGCAAGCATATCTTCCACTTGGTGGTTGTCTTGTGCCGGTTCCCGCCCAGGTCGCTCGGCTTGCAGGACTCCTTCGCGTTGCGCCTTTTGTCAGGGCCGCGCGTTCGATCTCCGTTTTTTGTTTATGTATATATATATATCTTTTCTCTCCACTGGCTGTCTGATTCTTTCTTCTCTCGATGCGCCGGCAGTTCATGGGCGCATATTGGCCTTCATGTTTCGCGCAGTAGCGGACATGGGTGACGGCCGCTCGATAAGGTTAACGCACTATCACAATTTGTATCCGATCGTCTGGAACACGCGGTCTTTCGCCGAAGATACCTAGCCGACGTTGCCACTGGTCGACCTTTGAGTCGTTATCACGCGGGCGATTCATTAGAAGATGCCGCGGCTGCCGCGCGCGTCTCGCCGGCTGACGGGCGCGGGCGCCCGCGAAGCCCGGCGCGCGCACAGCTCGCGCACCCATTGATCCATCCATTGTAGATCCCGCTGTTCGGGTCGAAACTGCACCGCTGGTGGCCTCGTCGCAAACATGCTTGCTGAGATTTCTTGGGGCCAAATTGGCGCGCGCCTTGCCTCGACTGAATTCCCTGGGTTTTCCAGTTTTTCCGCATTCTGTCTAGAGGGTGGTTGTCAAGCTTCCGGCTCGCGCATCCTCGTGGACAGTTGCGGCGTCTCTTAGGGCGCTAGAGCTGCTGGGGCCAACGGGCCCATTATGCGGAATGTCCAGTGTTCGCTGTGGCGCATGCCACAGAGACGGGCGATTTTTCCCCCTGCAGACCCTGTAGAACGTTGGGGGCCGAAAGGAATGAGCGAGGCCAGTTTGAAGCTCATATCGGTCTCATGCGCAGCTTATCACCATATGCGTTTCGTGAACTCGGCGGGGGTGCACGCGGTGCGTGATGCGGTGGCTGCGGGTCTTCGTTCGCATTGCATTGCCGAGACTCACCTCGATATTGAGCGACCGCCTGAGTTATCATATCGACACCGGCGCGACGGGCCCAGCGCCTTCTAGCCGCGTCCACCTGTTCTCGAGCGTGCCCGTTGCGATGCGCCCCTGAGTCAGAGCGCCGCGGCCCCCGGAGCTGCGCCCGCGGACGCTGGGGCGGGCCAGACTGTGCTCAGAAGGGCTGGGGATATGCAGCGTAAGTCGGCGTCCTTTCACCAATCCCCATCCCCGTCCCCATCCCTTTCGAGGCCCCCGCCAAATTTCCACCCCAGTTGGGGATGCATCCTTCGAAACCCGAGGGGAACGGTCGATGCCCCCATCTAAGGGGTAAAGCGGCCACTGGGGCCCAGGCCGCGCCGCTGGGGATGGGGATCGGTTGGGCGATGTTCAATAAGGCGGATGACGATTTAGTGAATTTCCCTTGCTCCCCTGATGTAGACATCGGCGATCCTTCTGAACTGCAGCCGCACCGTCTCAGTCTTCCACCCTTGCCGGAATCTTCGGCGCCGTAGGCGAGGAGACCCGCTCTCTCTCCGACGTTCGATCCCTCCTTCCCTTCCCCCTCTCTCCCTTCTTCCCTCCTCTTGTCCAGCCAGCCAGTTCGTGCTGCAACTGGTTCGCTTTAAATTCTTCACGCTTCGCGTATCCCCACCAGCCCATCTCAAAACAGCAACTCTTGCGAAGCATGCCGACAGTCGTGTTTTTCAGGCGGGTGTCCGCTTGCCCCCGCATATATCCCCTGTTCCTCCTTCCTCCCGCCTCCTTGTACATCCCCTTGTGGTAGGAGCGGGAGAAGGACGAGGCGGAGGAGGAGGGAGAGAAAGCGGTGGGAGGCAAGAGGGAGTTAGCGGAGATGACGACCACAGCGATGATCCTAACAACGACGACGCACCCGACGACGACGACGATATCGACCGCGACGACGACGACGACCACAACCGCGACGACGACGACGACGACGTGGAAGACGACGACGACGACGAAGGCGGCGGCGACGACGACGACGACGACGACGACGACGGCGACGACGACGACGACGACGACTGGTGGGAGTCGTTGGGGTCCCTCGTGGTGTGAGTCGTTCGGCCCCATCGTCCTTGTGTGAGTCCTTCGGGCCCCTCTTCCTGGTGTGAGTCGTTCGGGCTCCTCGTGGTGTGAGTCGTTCGGGCCCCTCGTCCTGGTGTGAGCCGTTCGGGCCTCTCGTGGTTCGAGTCGTTGGGGCCTCTCGTCCTGGTGTGAGTCGTTCGGGCCCTTCTTTCTGGTGTGAGTCGTTCGGGCTCTTCGTGGTGTGAGTCGTTCGGGCTCTTCGTCTTGGTGTGAGTCGTTCGGGCTTCTCGTGGTGTGAGTTGTTCGGGCCCCTCGTCCTGGTGTGAGTCGTTCGGGCCCCTCCTCCTGGTGTGAGTCGTTCGGGCTCCTCGTGGTGTGAGTCGTTCGGGGCCCTCGTCCTGGTGTGAGTCGTTCGGGCTCCTCGTGGTGTGAGTCGTTCGGGCGCCTCGTCCTGGTGTGAGTCGTTCGGGCCCCACCTCCTGGTGTGAGTCGTTCGGTAGTAGATGATGATGTAGTAGTAGTAGTAGTAGTAGTAGTAGTAGTAGTAGTAGTAGTAGTAGTAGTAGTAGTAGTAGTAGTAGCAGTAGCAGTAGCAGTAGCAGTCCTGGTGCGAGTCGTTCGGTCCCCTCGTAGTAGTAGTAGTAG